AAAAGTGTTCTAAAGGAGAGGAGCGGTTGAGCACATACTTCACCCATAGGAAGCCGCAGGTTTCCCTCATTGGCATCTATACATGAAAAGGATGTTCTGGAGAGCCATAGCCGGTGCAAGCAGAAATGCTGAGTAAGATGAACCACTGACATGACTCTGCACAGACCTGGTTTTAAAATGGCAATATGCAAGAAGAACTTACCTGTGTGAACTGCCATGTCGCCGGTTTCAGCCAGCTGTGCATGCTTGACCTTCTGGTGTCAGCCTTGGCCATTGATTTCTAGCATGATCAAGCTGTATGTTCATGTTGTTACTTAATGGCAGCTGATGTAGAACACTACATAGCTAAATTTTTCTTGCATTGATAGCATTTAACTGAAAAATATGTACCAAGAGTGAACTGTAGGTTAGGATAATGTGGGCACCCTCCCTTTTCATGACATAGCTGTCAAGTGTCCCTTATTTGAAGGGACAGCCCCTTATTCCAGTGCCATGTCCCGCTGCTGTCCCTTATTGATGGATGTCCCTTAAATGTCCCTTAAATGATGTCCCTTAAATTTCAAAGGAAGCAGCTCCTCTCCCTCCCTCCCTGCCGGCCAGGGAGGAGGGAGGCTCCAACTGTGTTGCTTCACTGTGTTGCTCACCTAATAAGAAGTCTAAGAACGACTGGGGGGGTGGAGCTTGCATGCCTTGTGTGTGGCTAGTTAATGCAAGCTGAGGGGGTTTTTGAATGCTGGACGCCATTTTGTTGCATGTGCTGCTACAAACTTTGCAGTGCTAAGCCAGGCTGGGGAGCCATCTTAAGTTGAGACTGCATAGGCCTTGTGGTGCATGTGGTTCAGATTCTATTCAGTTGAACCTCTGGTTACAAAGTTGGTTGGACAGTGTTCTCAAAGCTACCCAGTCTGAGTTTGACCAGACTGCAGGAGGACAGGAAGACTGGAGTGCCTGGAACAGGTGAGGCTGCAGGTCCCTTATTATGGCTGCTGGTCCCTTATTTTCAAGGCTGCTGGTCCCTTATCTTCAAATCTGTAAATTGACAGCTATGCGTACGGATTAGGGTAAACATAAACTTACGATGCTTGAGAAACAAAAAATTAGCCCCCCTTCCAGTTTAGTAGTTGAGGATTAATAGTGTTACTAAAGTTAGGATAAATCTATTTTTAAAAAATGATTATCTATGATACACATGCCTCTTATTTGAAAGAAGAGTATCACATGTATGCAATTTCCTCTTTGTGTAAAAATGATTGCAGCTCTTGAGATAAATTTCCTTCTGTATAAAAATAAGGTACCTATACTAAAGCTAATCTGTAACATGTATGCATGATTGCCATTTTAAAACCTTATTACTGTGAGTACTTCATCAGGTGTAGTTTTAAAAGCTTGGCAATAAATCACAACAAAAGAGTATTTCCAAGGTGGTATGTGCAGCAAATGTTATACCACATCTGAGCATAACTGTCAATCAGATTCTTGTATTCTACAACTCATAATAAAATGAAAATTATGTTTGTCTCTTCCCCTTCCCCTTCAGTGGAAGTGCATAGGCTTCATTGTTTGCCCTGCAGCATATATATTTTTAGACTGAGAATAATAACTAAATTTGGATGTGGGTTGTTTTTTTTAGAACTTCTTTAAATCCTTCAGCATTTCCATATGCCAGGCTTTAAAGTGGTTGAACTGGTTTTTAACACAAGAGTATCCTAGCTTTCAAGTTCCTCAGAGCTGTTTATCAGGCAGCATGTGTTCTGAGCTTTGCACTGTAAAGTTTGAAGGAAAATATTGGTGAAGGGGGCTGCTGTAGCCTAGACAAGATGAGGAAGCACTTTTTGAGGATCATCTTCCTGACTAAACACCTTCTTATGGCAGAATTTTGCTGCACCTTCTTTAAATAAAGTGAAATTCTGAGTTGAGGATTTCTGGTCTGTAAACCACACTTGTTTCATTGTTGCACACTGCATATTTTCTCACTAAGGCTACATGTGCAAAGCTTGTAAACCACTGTGTTAAATTGGCTTTACATTTTGAACTCACCTCCCTAATACTTTTAAAAATGTGCATTGATTTTATTACTTTTTCCTGTATTGATTAACCTGAAATAACATGGCTTATGTTAGGGTCTACTTCTTTACTTCTTTATCCACTGCTCCCAAAGGTTTTGGATACATTTTGTGTAGAAATATATTTTGTTAAGGAGAATTGGGCTTAGGTGGGTTATCCTTTGTTTAAAATCTTTGGTTTCTGAAATGACTATACTGTCTTCTTTGTGCAAAACAAAACATTGTTTTCAAGCTTGCTGGCTTGTTTGGGGGTTAGTTAGTTTTGGCAGGCGGTAACTTTTTTCCAAAAAAAAAGTTAGCATTTGAACTCAAAACTGTAATATAGCTAAGACTTTTGGCAGGTTTCCTGAATGAGAAAGCAAAGATAAATTTTGGCTTCAGAGAAAGAAGAGTTAAATTGCTTGTTGCTGAAGCAAAGCAGATCCATTCATTAGTGTTTCAGAGGAAAAACAGTCCAAAATGTCTTCAGTCAAGTTGCTGCCTAACATTGTAAGCATTTTTACATTGGGGGGGGGGTATTACACACTAAGAATAAAATAACATTGCCTGACATTTCTACATAATTTGTAAACCCAGCTAAGAAAACATCATTGTTTTCATAAGGTTCTTGGCTAGAAACTATTTTTATATCTAGATGCAGAGAATAGATGTTAGTTATAAGGTGAACAATTTTTGATGCAAGTAATCTTGTGTTTTGGAAAGCCTGGTTTTTGTGTGTGCCAACGTTCACTCTTCTGCAAAATATTACATATATTGGGGATGTACAAAAAGTATTTAGATCAGTTTGTGGCTTTTCTATAGAAGAAAAGCAGGTTGTCCTCATGAGGCTGCCCCATGCCGTTTTGTAAAAAGGAAGGTATGATGTCAACAGTGTGAGGGCCAAGTGATGAGGAAAGAGATTAGTCAGCTGAACGTACCTCCACAGATGATGTCTAAAGGGTACACTCTGTCCCTGGCCACATCCATCACAGATATGCTCTCACTCAGTGAACAGGCGATTTTCACCAGTACTATTCTATCTCGCTTTAAGGGCCTGGTCTGTCCAGCGGGGTGGGGGGGGTGAGGGGAGGAGAGGATGTGTCAGGCACCATTGGGCAAGATGGGAGGAACAGCTGCCAATCCTTGAATGCTTTCTTGTATTCTTCTAGTGGCCGGTCCCTTAGTCATAAATTACTAATAACAGAGCTATCTCTCCTGAACCACAACAGACTGATGACTCTCCAGACTGCATTTCAAAACTTGGCTTGGTCTCTTGTTCCACTGACCCAGCCATGTTTGCTAACCAAATTCTTGACCTTTAATCTTCAAGTGAAGCAAGTCTACCAGTCTAGACGTCACAGCAAACTGTAGAGGGCTTGCAAACCATGGTTTGCAGACTGCTATCAAATCCATGATGTGTCAATTCAGATGTTACCCCCCAAGTCATTTAGTTAGTGAATACTTGGTTGCTATTCCCTTTAAAGCATTGCTGCACATTCTCCAAACTGCTTATGTTTTCATTTGATCTTCTCTTTTAGTATCACAAGATCAACCCTCTCTTAGAAGGGAATTTGCTTCCATTAGCTGCAACTGACACAGAATTCTGTAGCGCACGTTGCTCCAGTTCTGGCTCACCTGGATTGGTGTTTCCTTTCAGACCCAATTCAAGATAATGGCAGTTACCTTTAAAGGGTTGTCTTAGAGCTGTTCCAGTATGTTTTCTTGCCCATTCTTCCTTGTTCTGCACTCTTCTTTTGCAGTTTGGAAGTGTCAGTGCTTCTGAATACCAGCTGCTGGAAAAGACAGGAGAGGAAGGGGCTCTTGTGCTTGAATCCTGTTTGAAGGTTTTCCACAAGCATCTGGTGGGCCCTTTGAGAACAGGATGCTGGATTAGATGGGCTATTGGCCTGATCCAGCAGGCTCTTCTTATGTTCTTGAGGCAGGGTGTTTGTTTGTTGGTTTGTTTTTGAGTATTCACCTTGTGGAATTTCCTCCCTAGACAATTCTACTAGGCCTCCTTCCTAACCCTGCTGCTAAGATAAAACCTCCCTCTCACCTCCTTTTTACTATTTTAATTGATCTTATTGTTGTTTAATGCTTAAAATAATCAAAATGTTTTCCCCTGAATTCTGACGACAAACCCCTTGCCTGAAGGGTTACAATCTTAAGGAAATACACAAAGGGGGAAAAAGGATGGGGGTGGCAGTAGTAGTTTATAATAACAGGCTTTAAAATTGAAGCTAGATATGTGAGGTGGTTGATATAGATGTCAATCCCTTTCTATTTGTCAGAAGAATGGTCTGTGTTACTCAGTAAACCAAGGTATGGCTTAGTGAGACTGCCTGTGCTTCTGGAGGGGACCTTTGCAGCCAGTTTGCTCCTCGGGTGTCCTTTGACTCATGAGGATAAAGGGTACACATGAGTTGTATTTTGGACAATACGCTAAGCCAAACCTCAGTGAGGTATGGCACTCAAAAGTACTATGGAGCAGCAAAGAGCTGTGAGCTCCTCTCTGGAATCCGACATGTTTGTGTAGTCTCACTAGGACAGTTGGGCTCACTGCATCATGCACAGCAGCTGGATTTTTTTACCTTGTTCTGAGTATATGAAATGCATCTAATGTTGCTTATAACTTTGCAGTGAGACTCATTGAAGATTCAAGGTTTTTTCCCTTTATGGTTTTTCCTATAAACCTTCTGGGGCCAATTTTCTAGGTATCTTCTCATCAGACTGAAAGTTGTATGCTGAACATATCAACTTTGGCCTTCTTCACTATGTCAAATGTTTGCAAACTTGATTTAGTAACCAAAAATTTTCTTGTTAAATTTGCATACTGCACTTCATCCATAGATCTCAGAGTAGTTTACAACATAATAATTAGAATATAAAAGCTTGAAATACATAATAAAAAATGAGCAAAACCAAACCAATAATCCCTCCCTCCCACAACATTGGATGTCAATTGGCCAAAGGCCTGTGTTCACCTGGCACCTAAAGGTGTATAGTGAAGGTGCCAGCTGAACCTCCTTAGGAGGAGCATTGCACAAACAGGGAGCCACTGCAGAAAAGACTCGTTCTTATGCTGCCACCCTCTGGACCTCTCATGGAGAAGGGCAACAGAGGTTTTCAGGGAGGGAAGTGTGATGAACAGGGTGACATTTCAGCTCAAACATTGGGATAATAGAAATGATTTAACAATGCACACAGCATCCTATTGGCCAGTACCCCAGCCTATCAGGAGCCAAATTTAGCACTCACTATTTTCACTGCAAAGAGGCTATGGAAAACTCTGCGCACAGTATTTTTTTAATTGTGGCAGCCTTTCAAATGATAGCTTAACCTGCAAGGCCAGGAAGAAATCCAAAAAGGGCAGGGTAGGAAAACTGAAGCAAGCAAAGCAGAACAGCCAAAAAACCCCTCCAAAACAGCAAAAATCCAACAAGGTAAGAATTGCCAGAGCAAGGCAAGCACCTTGAAGAGTTGGACCAGATCAACAAGTGTTGGCGGCTGTGGCAAGCTGGACTGCGACATGTCTGATGATCCGTGTGATACAGAAAGCTTGGAAGAACCTGAGCCATCCTGCCATGCGAGGAAGCCGAAAACATCTCGTTCTTGCCGGGCTGGGCTGGTATTCCCTGTAAGCCGCATTGAAAGATTCCTCCGGAAGGGAGACTACGCAGAGCGCATTGGATCAGGATCGTCTGTGTACATGGCTGCAGTGCTTCAGTACCTGACCTATGACATTATGGATATAGCTGGGAACATTGCTAAAAATGACCACAAGCGCCGAATTGCCCCCCGGCACTTACAGAGAGCCATCAGTGATGATGCTGAGCTCCACACTCTGCTTGGAGGGATCACCTTCCCCCAGGGGAACACCCTGCCCAAGACTAAGTCCACCGCATCAACCAGGAGGGGGAAGGGCAAGAAATCTGGCAAGGCCGTCAGAGCTCAAAATGTTGTTACTGCATAAGCAAGGGTAATGCTGTTTTTCTGGACTTGAGATTGAGTCTTTAGTACTCAGCAACATGGTCTAATAAAAGCTGATCTGACCATTCCTTTTGCTGTGTGAATGTTTTTCTTTCCATGTGAGTTAGCCAGGCAATTATCATTGAGCTGGCTATTATTTTGATAGGACTTCATGTTTTGTACAGCAAAAGCGTGTTACTTAGACCTAAAATGTAGGGTAGACCCTAGTGTGAAGCAAGAATCCAGCATCTGGTTGCTTTTCGATTCTGACATCTATGGCTTCATTGTGAGGTTGACACTTTTTCATTGCTTTTTATAGTTCCATTTCAGAACTGTAAATAAAAGAAGTATGAAAGCCTGTTCAGACATCAGAGCCAAAATTCTTCCTAAATACAATTGGAACCTCCCCACAATCACACCACATAGGAAGAAAGTAGTATCTGATCAGTACCCTGTTTGTGTGAATCTGGTGGTTTCCTGAAACTACAATAAAAAGGTAAAGGTACCCCTGCCCGTACGGGCCAGTCTTGCCAGACTCTAGGGTTGTGCGCTCATCTCACTCTATAGGCCGGGAGCCAGCACTGTCCACAGACACTTCCGGGTCATGTGGCCAGCGTGACGAAGCTGCTCTGGCGAGCCAGCACCAGCGCAGCACACGGAAATGCTGTTTACCTTTCCGCTTTTAAAGCGGTACCTATTTATCTACTTGCACTTAGGGGTGCTTTCGAACTGCTAGGTGGGCAGGCGCTGGGACCGAACGACGGGAGCGCACCCCGCCGCGGGGATTCGAACCGCCGACCATGCAATCGGCAAGTCCTAGGCGCTGAGGTTTAACCCACAGCGCCACCCGCGACCCGAAACTACAATAGAAAACATTAATTCTTCCCAATACTCTTGAAAAAATAGAGTTGGATCATGAATGTCAAGCAGATACTTCACTTAAAATCAGATGGTGTTAAGAACATGTGTTACTCTCACCTATTTCCATAATGAGGTGACAGGGTAGATGCTCAGGATTCCTCTCTAGTAATGTCTGGGCCATGATAATGTATGTTGAAAACAAAGTCCCACTTGCCTTGAGTGCTGCTGCCTGTACATGAGTCCAGTTATGGCCAGAACATTCTTCCCTTTGTGCCAGAGTTCTAAAGAATGTGGTTGATCAGTTAGGCTTTTCTGATTGCATCTTCACTTCAGAGGGAACATTTAACCCTAAACTTCACATTTTTCCTGGATTAAGCTGGTAGGCACTGGGCATTCTGTGCTAAGACTTTAAGCCTAAGAATGGCATTTTAAAAAATTGAATTAAATGAGCCATCTGCTCCATTAGTTTGCCGTCTGGGGTTTCCTTTTCCTTTTCTTCTGAATTGTGATGATTTGGGGTGTCCTGAGGTACCGACCAGTGTGATGAGCCAAACAGCTTTTGAAATGCTCCAGGATGGGTTGAAAGGAATAGATGTTCTGAAAGAAGGAAAGATTGTGAGGATCCTTTTTGGATGCTTTGGCATCTAGAGACCTACCTGTCTCTTTGTTAATACTCCTCAGGATGGGAAAGTGCTGGACCTTGAACTGGTGCCAAACAAAGTGCTGTAGCCAGTAGGTATGTGTCAGGGCCGCCTCAGGTCCCAGCTCACAAGAGACCAACGCCAAGTCCACTTTATTTACAAAAGTCTTTATTGAAGTACATTGTTTGTTCCACAGCCGAGGCGCGCAGCCCCACGTCTGTTACGCTTAGACCGCTGAAGTCCCCTCTGAATCAGTCCCGCCTCTACACCAGTTTAAGAGGCTTGTGCTAGTCCACCTCTTCCTGTCCTTCCTTTTCCGCAGGGTCTTTCTGCCCCCCTGGGTTCCTTCCCTCCTGCTTTCCCCTGACGCTGAGTCCCCAGACGCCTGCTCCCCCCTCCTCCGTGCTTTGGGACCAGGCTCCTCCTCCGGGCTCTCCGCATTTCCGCGCGCCTCCACATTTGAACTTGGCGCGCGTTTGCTACCCCTGACCTTCCTCTTGACAGTTATACTACTCTCTGTACTACTCTCCGCCCCTTCCGGCAGGACGTCTTGCCCCGATCTCCTTCCCCTGTCTGCTTCCTGCTCTGCTCCGTGTGTCACACTGGGAACTCCACCCTCTTCACTCCGTTCCGGCTGGGAAGCCGGCCCCGATCTCCCACTCCCACTCGGGGTTTCCCTGCTGCTCCCCTGCTCCTGACGAGTCCCCCCTGTGGCTCCCCTTGGCCTGACCAGGGGCGCCCCCTTTTGGGAATCCTCCGATTCACTTGAGAGACTCATGGAAGCCCTCAAGTCATTGTCATCCTCCTCCTCCTCGTTCCTGGATTCTTCCCCCTCGCTCTCAGTCTCCTCCCTCATCTGTGCCTCTCTCCCTGAACCCCTGACATCCATCCCCCCTCGAAGCCCCCCCTTCCCCCTCCCGCCCGTCGGGCGCAGGTTTTGGGAGCTGCGTCTCTGCGGGGGTAGATGCTGGATACAGTTCGTCAACTTCGATCTCCTCTGCTTCCAGCTCAGTGTATGTGTGCTCGAACTCAGGGTCGTCTCCCAAGGTGTTCTCGGTCTCCTCTCCCATTGTTACTTCGTCCGGTGCTGTTGGCCAAGGCCCCTCCCTCCACCTCCTGCGCCAGTCCTCCTCTGGTTGCTCGTCCCACCAATACGAGGGTTCCGTCTCCACCCCCGAGCACGATCCCCTGGGGGGGCTCGACTCTGGCGTTCCCTCCTCCGTGGAAGAAAACCCCCGGAAAGTGCTGGCTGAAAGTGTGGGCATAAAAAGCCAGTCGTCAAAGTACTCTGCTGGCATGGGCCTGTGTGGGAAAAGGGCATGGAACTCGTCCTTGAGAAGAGGCTCGTCCAAAGCGTAGTCCGGCACCCAACTGTTGGCGCTGGCTGGGGTACCCTCTCTGGCGAGAAAATATTCTACTCCCTCTTCCCCCCATCTCGAGTCCAGAATCTCTGTGACCTCGTTGATTGGTTCGGCCCTAGGTGACCTCCCCCTCTTGGGTGACTCTCTGCGTGGTTCTGGTGCCGTCCCTGGCTCCTGAAATCTGTGTGGGGCCTTGTAGGGGGTGAGCACCGACCTATGAAAGACCGGGTGCATTCTGGAACCTTCGGGGAGGGCCAGTCGAAACGCTACGGGATTGATCCTGGCCTCAACTTGGTATGGCCCTAGCTGCCTGTGTCCTAGCTTCTTCTTAGCTAACGACTTGGCCGGCACCGCTTGGGCCGCTAACCATACCCAGTCCCCCACCTGGATGTCTTCTCCCGCCCTCCTGTGTTTGTCCGCCTGCACCTTATAGGCTTGCTTAGCTAGCTCCAAATGTCTCCGCAGCTCCTCGTGCACCTCTTGCAGTTCTGCTGCGAAATGGTCGGCCCCCTGCGGCGCCCCCTCCCCCGTCGTTACGAGCCCCGGGAAGGTTCTGGGATGTCGTCCATTGTTAGCGAAGAACGGCGTCACCCCCGTCGACGCGTGCTTCGTGTTGTTGTAGGCAAACTCAGCCATCGGCAGGTAATCCACCCAAGCTGCGGGTCGCTGATTGGCGTAACATCTCAGGTACTGCTGCATGATAGCGTTGACCCTCTCTGCTTGGCCGTTGGTCTGCGGATGTCTCGCCGACGATAGGTTGATTTTGACGTGCAGGATACCTAGGAGCTTCTGCCAGAAACTGGAAACAAACTGGCGCCCCCTGTCGGACAGAATGGACCGTGGCAGCCCATGCACCTTGAACACGTGGTCGATGAAGAGTTTGGCGGTCTGTTCCGCTGTCGCCACCTTCGCGCAAGGAATGAAGTGCGCCATCTTGGTGAACAGGTCCACAACCACCAGTACTGCCGTCTTGCCTCGGGAGCTGGGCAGATCAGTAACAAAGTCCAGCGCTACCCGCTCCCACGGTTGCAGTGGCGTCTCCAGCGGTTCCAATAGTCCGGCTGGCTTCTGGTGCACTGGCTTGGACCTTTGACAGGTGTCACATCTGGCGACGTAATCCACGACCTCTCCTCGCATTTGGGGCCACCAAAAGTCCCTGGCTACCAGTTCCGCTGTCTTCTCCTTGCCGAAATGGCCCGCGCTGGGTGCGTCGTGCAACTGGTGCAGAACCTTTGCGCGGAGATCGTCCCCTGGCACGTAGAGGGCACCTTTGCGAGTTAACAGCCCGTCGCGTATCTGGAACTCGTCGTCTCTCGTTACCTCTGCGCAGCTCTTCCATCTTGGATTGTGCAAACTGATCCGTCTGCAGTGCGCGTCGCACCGCGTCCAGGTCGACGGCGACTGAAGCGCACGCCCACGCCTGCGGTGCGAAAATGTGCTTGGCTGCTACTGTTGCCACTTCCTCGAGATATTGCGGTTTCCTTGAGAGCGCATCGGCTATGACATTGGAGTCTCCCGGGATGTACTCTATTCGGAAGTCGAAATCCGCGAAGAATTCCGCCCAGCGCATGTGCCTCTGGCTCTGGAGCTTCGCCGTGCGCCAATACTCTAAGTTCTTGTGGTCTGTGCGGACCTGCACGGTGTGCTTGGCTCCTATGAGGAAGTGCCGCCACGCTTTGAAAGCCGCGTGAATGGCCAACAACTCCCTGTCCCAGATGGTGTAGTTCTGTTCCGCCTTGCTGAGCTTCCGGGAGTAGAAAGCACAGGGCCTCCAGTGCCCTTGCGGATCTTCCTGCAAAAGGACGGCCCCTACCGCTCTGTCTGATGCGTCCGTCTCGACCCGCATGGGCCTGCCAGGATTCACGTGCAGCAGCTGTTCCTCGGAGGCGAAGAGGCTTTTAAGCTTCTGAAAAGAGCGCTCCGCCTGGTCCGTCCAAGTGAACTTCTTCTTCTTGGAACTGAGAGTGTCCGTGATTGCTGCTGTCTCCTTCGCGAAACCCCTGATGAACTTGCGGTAAAAGTTGGCGAAACCGATGAACCTCTGGACCTCCTTCCGATTGCGCGGGCTCTTCCAGTCCAACACCGCGCGGACCTTGGCGCTGTCCATGGCCAGCCCCTTGTCGGACAGCTTGTAGCCCAGGAAATCCACCTCCGTCACATCGAACTGGCACTTCTCCAACTTGGCATAGAGTCTGTGTTCCCGTAGTCTCTGCAGGACCTCCTTTACGTCTCTCTCGTGAGCCTCCGGCGATTCTGAGAAGATCAGGATGTCGTCGAGGAAGCACACGCACTT